GTTTATTGTTATATTCTTTTTACTTATGGTTGCTCTCAAAAGGGCCGTTTGTTTTGAATATTTTCGGGGTTTTTGATGACGTCATCGTCCATACGAGGCGTACGTAAAACAGAGGGTTCGTATAACTGGGGTACGTAAAAACGAGGTTCTACTGTACATAATTTTCAAAATACAGTAGAACCCCTACTTTGGTACACACATATTCAGGGGACACTTTTCCGTGAAATGAGAGGAAATATATCTTTAACACTACAGCCAACCCCTATTAAAGGGACATCCCAATTAAGGAGATGGGGACACTTTTGAGTGTGCCATAAGGTCAAATAACTCCTATTAAAGGGACATTTAATTTCTTTTTCATTGTAGCACAACATCTACAGCACTCTAAAAATAAGAAAAAAATCATTTAACTTTACATTTTGACACCTTTTGAGCAATAAACCAGAATTTTCTCCCCTTAATGCATGAGTGAATATCAGTATAGGCCTACAGCATGCTACTTCATAAAGAAATTTTTTTTGTTTGTTTTTTGTGTACTTCATATAGGATTCTAATCCACATCAAAACATATTACTCTATTCATGCTACATCCATCTAATAGAAAGCTCTAATGTGATTGTTGTTATTTGTAAATAAACCAGTATTTGTTTCCTTTTTCAGGACATTTCAAATACATATTACACACACATTAATCACATTATACTATTTCAAACCATATGAAATTAAAATAATAATAATACTGCTTGCGGTTACACCACATAGATAGTTCTGAATAGAACTGCTGCTGTTGATTGAGAATATCTCCACATTTTGATTAAGTTGCTTCAGGAGAATAATATCTCCCCTTCTCTTGCATTATATATTCATATATTTATTGGACTAATATTACAAGTCTTCTACATTAATATATTAAAATATAATTGTAAGTAAAAATGTTTAGCTTTTAAAATTTCTTTAAAAAAATACTAGCATTAAAGAGAATTGTTATCTATACAGCAGATATCCAAGGAGAGCTGCTGTTGACTGGTAGCACACTGACTGGTGAGACAGACACTAGTAAAACAGAAGCTGGCCCAATTCAATCTGAAGGTAATAATGCCATTAGGTGGCAAAATTAAGTTACATTTTATATGTACAGTAAACAATGTATACCGTAGGGAGAACTTTCAATTTTCTTTCTTTGAATTTTAAGATGAAGCATATGACTTTTATGTCATGAGTGACAACGCTGAATGGGAGAAAACGACAATAACTGAGTTGGAGAAAAGGAGGCAAGGAATACGGTGTATTAGCAGAAATGAGTGGATTCCTGGAAAATACAAACTTGATAATTTGATAGAACCAGTTAATATTTGCAAGAAAGTTGTTGTAGGATTTGCACCATCACCAGCAATTGGTAGTACAAATTATCTGGCACAATCTGTTGTTCAGAGAATGCTTGATGAAAATAGCACTGGAAAACTTATCCCTGTCAGGATATCAGAGGATTCTATAATACCAGAAGCTTTAAATGTTCTACATTCAGCAAATGGTTGGGAAGATAACTTGTGCGAGAAGTTGTTCTTTGCTTTAGATGCAGTAGGTACATTTATTAATATTGCCTGAGTATTATTTACAATAATTATAGTACTCAAGATCGTCGGTCGGATATATATCTGTCTCTTATACACATCTAGATGTGTATAAGAGACAGGTGTATGCACGCCCGGACCCACATGGTCCTTGATCTAGCACCCTTACTCAAAAGAATTATTGATGCATAACAGCATAATGTGTCTATGACATCGACTGTAGGGGGGAAGCTAGAGAAGGCTCCACCTCAATTCCCTCCCTAGGCCCTGTCTATTTCAAATTTCTGGATCCGCCACTAATATATCATTTATTTTGTCATTCAAAACATTTAGAATACCGTGACAAACATGATTAAAAAACAAGCACATCTAAAATCTTACAATGGATTTGGTGACCGGTACCCAAAAAGGCCCCCAGCATTACTCCACTGAGCCATGAAGACTCTTTCTTCACTCTCAAATCTTAAGTGGGTTAGTGGGTTATCTTATCCTATAATTTCAATTTCAAAACTACAGTAATTATAGTGTACTGTATCTGGGCCTTTTCTATACAGTATTTTAAAAAAAATCCCATTATTATAACCAAGGGCACAGATCTGTTTTTAGAAAGTTTGGGAGGGGAGGGGGTGAATTTCGTGTGACCACGCCCACCTCATCTGGTTGGGGCTGAGGTGCGAACATTTGAGGAAATTTCACTTTTATATAAGTAAAACTTATCACGTCACCATTATAGGCAAAATGAAGGGCCAACCAATTTCTCTAAACAGGGATTTTCGGCAACTACAAAGATCATGTGATAACATAAAACTTAAAAACATCTTTTATGAATTTACCTGCTTCAAAGCCGTGAGTGTACGCCCACGTCAGCCACACCA